TTTTTTTTTGTCTTCCCTTTGCCAGGGTCGCAGCGTTTTCTTGGGAGAAATGTTTCGTCACTCATCCAAGGAACTAGGTACTTCAGTCACCGTTTATAAGGTTGGGGAAACCTGCAGACAGCTGAGTCTGATGAGTGACAAAACATTTCTCCACTGAAAATGCTACTCTAGATCAACACAATCCCCTTTTTGGTCATGCTGAGATATGCCAATTTTGAGGCAACATCTAAATAAATAATTTAGACTACAGAAATGAGAACAAATGAAGCATTTCTGAAAATAAAGTGTCTTAAGAGAGAAACAGTTTATTCCTAAGATGTTTGTTATGTGAAGGCAATAGGGCATACTTTTACTCAAGACTTTTGCACAATACTGTCTCAATGAAAATTTGAGAAAACACTGATTACACAGATAAAATGTATCAGGATAAGATCTGTAGATGACTATAGTTCTGATCGAAAGTTTAAGATCACTTCAAAATGCTTGTTGATGGAGCTGCAGAAGCTGGTGACACCTAGCATAATCAGCCGGATGATTGACACTTACATGCTCATGCAAGTTAGCCGTGTTTGAATACTTTGCTTACACACCGCTTTGGTCATGTTTGGAAACTTGATTTCTGTTTAGGGGGTGTTGGCAGGTTTTTTTTTGGAGGTGTGATCCTAAACTTTTGATCAGGTGTAAAAACAGCCTGTTTCAGTTTAAGCATTGTTTTCAATAAATTGCATGATTGAAAAATATTTCATCTCACTCCCATTTCTTCTTGTTGCATGTTAAAACTCTACTTTAACCCTGTTAAGATCCAAACATGCAAAATAAGATTTTTTGCCATTTTTCAAGTGGTCTTAAACTTTTGATCGGCACTGTAGTATAACTCTGATGCCTCTAGAACATGAAGATGGACTAAAGTTGAATAAGGAATAAAATGTACTGACATTACTTGAACAGCTTTCCATCCACAGTTGCAAGTCCTTCAGCTCAACATTGGTGCCACCATCTGAAAAAGGAAAGATGAGATAGGAGTGATTAAGATAGTGAGCATAGGTGTACAGAAAAAAAAATACAGAAAAATCAAGTTATTAGAATAGAATAGAATTCAACTTTATTGTCATTGCACATGCACAGGTACAGGGCAACGAAATGCAGTTTGCATCCATCCAGAAGTGCTTTAGTGATATAGATATATTACAATTTAAATA